CTTATTTAAAACCATTTATAAATGACAGTTTTCTAACAACATTATTTGTTCTTCCATTTTATGGAAATTTTTAAGCAATTTAACTTCCAAACGAGAATGCCTATTGTTATAAATTGTGTAATTTTCTTGAAATTCATCTTTTGCGTATAATGTGTGTGTAAGTAGGAGAAAAGGAAAAAAAAAAAAAAAAAAAAAAAGAATACTAACAATGACCTATAAACTAGCCAAACATAGAATGGCCAGGATGGTTAAAATTTAAATTACCTACTGTCTTTAGACAAAAACCAACCCTTTGAAGCAAATTATTGACGGTCCAATTTGAATTCTAATAAATACTGAGTATTGTGGTGTCATGATCGAGGGGATCCCAACTCTGCCAAAGGTGATTGGGAGTGGTGAGCAACTGAGCATCAAATCTTCAACCTGGTAGTCAGAGTTGGGAACTTTTATCATTGAAATCCTGCTTCAACCTCAAATTTTACAGACATAAATGTAGTGTAATTGTGTGGGAAAAAAACAGACTTATTCTGACGAAGTGTTATCTATTTGACTTAGATTGATTGTAGATACTGATTTTGATTTTTTCTGTTTTGTAGGTAAAACTAGCAATATGAAGATAATTATTGCAGTCATAGCACCTCTTGCCACAATTACAGTCATTGTCTTCATGTACTGTATGTGGAGTTTGGTGTATCGATCACGATATGGTAATTTTTTTATTGGTTACTCACTCGATCTATATCTTTTTCATTGATTATTCTGCAAAATTTGACAAATAGCTACTGAATTTTTGCCACTGCAGGTAGGAAAAATAAAAACACTGAAGCAGTTGATTCTGATGTGGATTATGCGGAATTCAAAGATTTAACATAAAAATCTTGTCAAACTATTGGGTTGCTGTGTAGAACGAGAAGAAAAACTGCTGGTATATGAATACATGCCAAATAAAAGTTTAGATGCACTTCTCTTTGGTAATTTTCCTGAATGAAAATTATATGAATTTTCTTGCACCATATAAATATTGTATAGTATTCATAGGTTAGTAGGAGCATTATTAGAATTATGTATAGCATCTGACATATGGATCCTGCCATTTTCTCTTCTGTATATTGTTGATCAGATTCACATCATGGATTACAGTTGGACTGGAAGAAGCGCTTCAATATTATCAATGGAATTTGTCGAGGCCTCCTCTATCTTCATAGAGACTCTAGATTAAAGATTATTCATAGAGATCTTAAACCAAGCAACATTTTGCTTGATGAAGATCTCAATCCCAAGATATCTGACTTTGGAATGGCAAAGATATTTGAGAACAAACAAGATCAAGCCAACACCTTAAGGGTTGTTGGCACATAGTAAGTATCTCAATAATTTATCTTTATTATAATGTCTGCTATATTTGTACTTTTTTTTTTCCCTTTTTTTTTTTTTTTATAATGGTGCTATATTTGTGTTGTCAATTATACTCATATGAAGTATTTCATAAAGGAATATGTTTACTTAGGTGCTGTGATGAGGTCCTCCCTCATGGCATTGACAGAATTTTGATAGAAACTAAAATTTAAATGAAGTGTAACAATCTTCTTATGTATAGGTATATATACAATATAGTTTTAATTAACATAATATATTTAACATATAACACTATATTCAAAATCACCTTTTTAGTGAAATTTTTTATTGGGCATTTTCACAGTTCGTTAGTGATTTATAAAATAGGTGAATAAATTACCTCTAAATGTACAGGAAATTCTCAAACTACAGCAATGAAATGATTTCTATTATGAACTCGTGGAATTAATAGAGGTAATATTTCTTTTCAGTGGCTATATGTCTCCAGAATATGCTATGGAAGGCCTCTTCTCAGAGAAATCAGATGTTTTTAGTTTGGGAGTGCTACTACTTGAGATTGTCAGTGGCCGGAAAAATAGTAGCTTTATGGATATTGAGTCTATGAGCCTCTTAACCTATGTATGTTCCATAATACAGAATTAATTTCGCATTGGAATTTACTATTCCTTTTCTTGTCTCAATGTATATTGTCCAAATAAAAAGCTTAGTTACTAATACATTGAATTTGCTGTACTTTGATTTAGGCATGGAAATTGTGGACCGAGAATGATATGCCTTCATTGATTGATCCAACCATTCTTGATCCTTGCTTCAAAGATGAGATTTTGAAATGCATACAGTTGGGGTTATTGTGCGTGCAAGAATTCCCTGAAGATAGGCCAACCATGTCGACGTTGATTTCTATGCTTGACGTTAATGATATTGAGGATCTCCCACATCCAACACGACCTGGATTTACTCACAGGAAAGTTTATTCTACTGATGAAATCCTTCAAAGTAGCCAAGAACATGGTGGATCTGTAAACAATGTCACTCTGACTGCGGTCAGTGGTCGATAGTAAGTATATATGTTCATTCATGCATACTTTTTGGTTATCTATATTTATTTTTTTTCTCTTTTGGGGTGATTTGGGTGGGGTTAAGTGTGTTGTGATGAACTGGTATTAAGTTATCAGTCTGTAATGTAATTGGTCAATAAATTGAGGGAATAATGGTAATGCTTTTGTATACAGTTTATATGGAAAGCTTTTGTTTATATCATGGTAATGAATCCCCCAAGCATTAGTTTTTCTTCATATATAATTTGAAGAAAATAAGATATTTTGGGGTTTTACTAGCATTACCATGAATACGGGCATCAAATTTACATATAAAATCATTATCATTATCTCTTATCACTTTTTATCGACATCTATTATCGAAGTTGGCCGCTCCCTGTCTGAAGATTGCTTGGCTGTTAACATGTCACTAAGATTGAAGATTAATGCGGTAACCACTGGCAGAAAGTGATCCAATTCTGATCAAATCTTCCTTGTGCAAATATATTACTGTCTGTATGTAGTCTAGTAGATTGTACATGTGCATTAGAATTAGATATGGCGATATGAACAATTCTCTATTAAATATGCATTTTCTCTTTCTGCAAAACAATAACTTTATTTAAGCCCCGTTTGTTTTGATGGAAACATTTTCCTAGAAAATGGATTTCCTTCTTTTTTCAATCCCCTTCGTTTGTTTTGTGGAAGGGTTGAAAACAATATTTCCATTGATCGAAGATTACTTTTTAGAGATGGAAAATCAATTTTTGTAAAGAAGGTATGTCATATTTTCCTCTTTACTCCTTAGGCCCTGTTCAGTTCACCTTAAAAAATTAATATTAAATAAAAATAATTTCAGTTTAATAATATAAGTTCAGTTCAGTAAAATTCAGTTACTATAAAGAAGAAATATAATAGAAAATCAGTAAAAAATAATTTCATTTCAGTAAAATTAATTTCAATTCAGCAAAAATAATTTCAGTTCGGTAAAAATAATTTCAGTTCAACAAAAAATAAGGTGAAGTGAACGGGGCCTTACTCTATTTTCTTTCCTCTATCCTTCCCCCACCTTTTTACTTCCAATTTTCCTTTTCTCCTTAAGTTTTTCAATAATCGAACAAATAAAGAAAAATCCTTTTCACAATCATGTTTTCCATTAAAGATTTTTCTTTATAAGATAATTTTTCATGAAAGATTTTAGGAACAAAGTGTGAATAAATAATCTCTCTCAATATTATTGTTTTACCATGTCAAAACCATATCCAACACACGATGCATGAATGAGAAGATCACCTATAAACATTAGCTTTGGTTAAAAGTCTTAGAGTTGATATTCAAATCATGGGATTATATTACATCTAAATCATGTGCTCTTTTTGAAAGATAGAAATTACTTTAGTAGTGGCAGAACTAGGACAAAGAAATGTGGGTGCCTAGTCGCCTATAATCCTTATATGGTTGAATTTTGAGAACAACGTCACTACCAAATTAGAAATTATATGAACAATGTCACTACCTTCGTTACTTCGTTCTTAATTTATCCATTTTGATTTTTCATTCTTGTCAATGAAAAAACTTAACCATTTATATCTTTAATTCTCAATTCCTAAATTTTCTTTAAACTTATTGTAAATATTTTGAGATTATGTATTGAGATGATTCTAACATTTCCATGACTATTCTTTTTACTATTTGATACAGAAGAATTACCAATATTGTAAAAAATCGAAAGATGTATCACGTAAGCTTTTAAAGTCACTATAAAAATAAATGAAATAATTTAAGAAATAAAAAGCGAGTATTATGGAGTACTTCCTAGTCCCTTCGCCCGGATTCTATGAACAAGATAATGGTAACTTGTAAGTGTATGGCTTTGTGATTTTAAGGTTACAATATGTATGCAGTCATCCTGGAAGCACTTTGTAGGTGAGGGGGTGGGGGGTTCATGTCATTTTTTAGCGCTCCCCGGGTGCCAACGGAGAAGAAGAAGTCAGTAAGTCATTATCCGATCTGGCTCACATGCAAGCACTATTTATTTTGACCTCGAGTTTGATAATTCATTTAAGTAGTACAACTAGATCATTGTATTTGTATACATGACTTTGTTCTCATCAAGTTGCATAATATTTTTTTTTTTCTTTTTGATTGTTCCTACAACATGCATTGTGCAAGTTTGATGATTCAACTTGTGCATACAATATTATAGACAGAACTACTAAAAGTGAAATCTTCATTATTAGGATTTTTACTGTAACTGAAGTATGTACAACTAACTAATCCAAAATTTTATGTATTCAAGTATAACTTTGTAGTTAATGTATGTACCAAAACAATCTACTAGTACTAATAGCTGATCATCTCCAATAAATCAAACTTGTTATCATCTGCTACGCCCGATTGATATTTTCGACACTGGCGCTCCAGTACGTCAAATTATCATACTAGTACATTCTTTCTAGCCTTCTTGGACTAACGTCTTTTAGATTGTCGTGGTCATTAAACTTTCGTTTGGATTTTAGAAATACTTGCACTATATTGATTACTTTCTTTATTCTTGCATCAACTTTGACCCTGTTGTTTTATAATCATAATAGGCAATGAAGTTTGTAGTGTTGTTTCAAGAAGAAGAAAAAAAAAAACAATATTAATAATCATAAACATCATGATAACCATGACTAGCTACTAGAATTGGACATATCTGTTTATTTATTTATTTATTTATTTATTTTGTAAGGGGTCGTCATATCTTCTTCTCTATAGAACTTTCCTCTTTCAACCTAATAAGCCTAACCAAAAACCTTGTATTCCAAAAAACAAAATAAAAAAATAATAATATTCTGAATCAATGTATAAAAACAGCTTACTAAGAGTTTTTTCTATCCTCTTCTTCGTCGTCTTTCTGATTTCATCAGCTATCGCCAATGAACAATATGATAGCTGTCCACCAAGCAATTCATCATGTGGTTTCCAGCTGAAATATCCTTTCTGGGACAGCAACCTTCCGGAGTATTGCGGTCATCCGACCTTCAAGCTCGACTGTAACAGATATTCACAATTAACAATCAACATTGAATATCAGACGTACATAATCCTCGACATCAACTATGATGACAAGGTGTTCAGCCTTACAAAACCACAGCTTTTAACCGGTCATTGTCCTGACAACAAAACTCTGTTGACCAACACTACCTTAGATCCGAACCTCTTCGTCGTCTTAAATCCGACCCAGATGCACCCTATGGCTTTCGTTGCACAATAAACGATACTTTTGATTCAAGATCATCATTGAACAGCGACATTGGCTATCTTGCAGTAAGCGGGAGTAAACTGGAGCAAAATCTTAGAAACAACTGTAGTTTTGAGGTTCAGGTTCCAATTCGAAGGACCGAAGTAGTAAAGATTGCCAATGTTGAACAGATTTTGAACAAAGGTTTCGAGGTAAAATGGATGATCGATGATCATGGTCAATGTGACAATTGCAGTAAGTCCGAGGGAAGATGTGGATTCAATCAAACATCAAAACAACAAACTTGTTTTTGCAAGGATGGTGCTCATGGTCTGAGTTGCCACGGACTTCATAAATATACACTTGCTCCAACAGGTAAGAATCCATATTACTATTATTACTCCGTACATACTATATGTTTACTTAAACTTAAATTAAATATTCTGTAATGAGGAGAAAATTACTCTTGAAAATGGTCTCATTGTAGAGATGTTGAGTTACTCAATTACATTCAATCCAATAATATGACAGTCAAGGTCTCAAGGATGAGACAATGTGGGACGTTTTACCAAATTGAGCTTTAAACGGAAACTATTTACGAAAATGGTTGCGTGGCAAAACTATTTACCAAACTAAGCTTCCAGCATAAAACGCTGTCCGAGACAGCGTTTTATGCTCTGGTATTTTTTAAAAAAATATTCAGTTGGGTTTTTTTAAAAAAAAATTCAATGGGTAAAACGCTGTCCGAGACAGCGTTTTATTCCCTGTTTTTTTTTTTAAATGAAACGCTGTCCGGGACAGCGTTTCATGGCCATATATCAGCATGTTCACTTCAGCAGAATGCGCAAGAACTCAACCTCAACGCTTTCCCTCCTCCCTCTCACACTAAACCACGACCGTACTCAAACACCCGCATTGCCGCCGCCGCCCACCCTTGCGCCACCGCTGCTGCCGCCACCTTGCTGCTGCCCTCCTCCCTCTCACACTCACTCACTCAATTTCGTGGTTAGCCCTAAACTGAATTTAGTGTAATTGCATAGTTATTGTGGTTAATTATTGTGAATTGTATGTAATTGCTCTTACTTGTTGTTAATTCATGTCAATTGCCTGTAATTGTTGCTAATTATTAATGAAAATGTGGTACATTGTTGATAATTATTGATGGTGATGTGGTACATTGTTATTGAAATTGTTCATGACATTGGTGAAGTTGATGATGGTGAAAATGTTGAAGTTGTTAATGGTTGAAATTGGTGAGAAGAGATGAAATTGTTGAAATTATTGAAATAGTTTAGGTTGAAATTGTTGAAATAATTCAAATTGTTCATGAAATTGTTGAAATTGGTGAAGTTGTTGAAAGTGAAGTTGTTATAGGTGAGAAGAGTCTTATTTCAGTGTTGATAATTTACCTCGCTCTAGATTTCGATAATCCTAAAATGTGTTTTGGTTATGTAGAATATGGCGTCACAAAATGTAGTTTTGTTATGCCGGTGGGGAGGAGAAATTCTGTTTGATGGACCCCGGGTCGAGTATAGTGGGGGAAATATGGAACCACTAACACTAGAACCGAACATGACTATGAATGATTTGATAACATTTGGAACATTTGATCGTTAACATTTTGGTTAATTGCTAATGCGTTAACTCTGTTGGGATTTGTTAAATTGCATGTGAACAGATACGATGGACGGTGAAGATCGTACGCCTGGACCCGTTGACCCTTCTGTGCTTACACTACAGGGCACACACCGCAGCGTTGCCGTATGGGATCAGACGGTAATATTGCATTTGTTTGTTCATGGACTACAGCTTGTTGAGTTTATATGGTATATGATCTTAATTTCTTTCTAACAGGTTGATCCGGCAAAGCAGCTCGTTTGCAGGCATTACACCACCAGGTTCATGGTGGGGTGGGGAATCGATCCTCGCGTTTTGGCGTACGTCGAGTTTTTCGGTTTAGGTGGTTTTCACCGTATGGCGTATAGGGAGATCGATCGAGCGCTTGTCACTGCGCTCGCGGAGAGGTGGAGACAGGAGACGCACTCCTTCCACCTACCTGTTGGTGAGACGACCGTTACGTTACGGGACGTGGCGATTCTTACGCGCCTTCCAGTACATGGGTCTGCGGTGACAGGACACGCGTTAGTCGATCCCGTCGGTTTGGTTGGTCGGGTACTTGGTGTCCAGCCAGGTCCCGCCGATATTAGGGGATCCGGGTTGAGGACCGGCTGGGTCCGTGAGACTTTCCGTGAGCTACCACCAGGGGCTGATGACGCCCAGGTTCAGAGATACGCCCGGGCGTACTTGTTCTTCCTCATCTCGGGCGTGTTGTTCGGGAATAAGAGCGGGAGCCATCTCCAGCTCATTTACATGCAGCTGTTGGACCACGACTGGGATCATATCCGAGGCTACAGCTGGGGTAGCGCCTGTCTGGCGACGTTGTATCGCCAGCTGTGCAGAGCATCCCACGTAGGTGCTAACGAGATTGGAGGTCCCCTGATTGTCCTCCAGGTACCTCACTTATTTCTGTACCAAAAAAACTATTTCACCACGCACTTACATATTTCATACTGAAGCTAGTTTTGTGTCTCTGTGTGCCAGTTCTGGGCTTGGGAGCATATCCATGTAGGCAGACCTGCGATACACCGTCGGGGGGAGCAGGACCAGGACGACCAGTACCAGGCGTACGATGCTCCCCCGCTCCCTACACCGGATGAGGCATATGGTTGCAGGTTCGATACAACTTTCATTGAGTTAGGCTTTATTTAATGCGCGGGGTTGTTAACTGAAACATTGTTCGATATTAGGTGGGTGGTACCCAGGCTGACACATGCTCATGCGGCGAGGGGTCTTCCGTATTACCGAGACGCCCTAGACCGACTCACCGAGGGCTAGTATTATCTGTTGTATTCCCTGTTATTTTGTATAATGATGTACATAACACTTATGAAATTAATATAATAAATCTTTTTTGAATGACTCCGTGTGTGCTTTGAAGTTAATTTGGTGGTTGGACTGTTGTTGGGCTGTTTCGAGTTTTCTGCAGTGCTTAAAGTTGACGGAACTCCCAGAATATGGTGGTGGTACGTGGTGGGGAGTGGCGGAGTTGGTGGTCGACGGTGGTGGGGTAGGGCTGTGGAGCTGGCTGTTGTGGTGGCTGTTGGAGGACTGCAGCATGCAAGCTGTTTGCTGAAGCTTGTTTTCTGCCTGGATGCTGGTTGCTGTTTCCAGCAGAAAAGCGCTGTCTGAGACAGCGCTTTATGTTCAAGAATAAAGCGCTGTCTGAGACAGCGTTTTATGTTCAAGCATAAAGCGCTGTCTGAGTCAGCGCTTTATGTTCAAGCATAAAGCGCCATCTGAGACAGAGCTTTATGTTGAACATATAAAATAGTTGTAGTTGAATTTTTTTTAAAAAAAAAACCAGGGGTAAAACGCTGTCCGAGACAGCGTTTTATGCTGGAAGCTTAGTTTGGTAAATAGTTTTGCCACGCAACCATTTTCGTAAATAGTTTCCGTTTAAAGCTCAATTTGGTAAAACGTCCGACAATGTGAGCTATACTTGGGATTAAAGAGTACATCAATAAGCAGATTTAATTACCATCTCAGTTCCATATTAGTTTACATGAGCAAGATGGAGTAACTAGTTATACCCATGGTCTCAAAGTTAATTACACGATTTTTTCTCGGCTAAAAGTAGAAAAAATAAACATAACATACCATTTTATCAAGGTGATAAATTTGGAATGGAAAATATGTTATCTAGGAGAAATCCATAACAATCAATTAATCCTTTAATCAGAACACTTAATGAAGTTACTTTTACTAGGAGAAATCCAAGTATATCACGTACCTGATTAACTTGGAAATTGGAATGCAAATCATGTGGCAAACTTACGAGTATTTATATCAATCATCAATGTAGCATTGTGCCATTGTTCAGTGTTCACATTAAAACCACGAATGTATGCAACAAGCAAGCGGTTCTACCGTAAATCTGCTAATTATTTTAGTGGTTTTATCCAAAATATTAAAAGTCGTTTGCCCCTTGATTTTGTATGTGTCGTTTATTAAGGAGATAAGTTGGGGCTTATTCCTTTTATTATTGTATTGAATCATACAAAAATAAGCAAAATAATGTTGAATTATGATGGAGAAATCACCTTGAGGATAATAGACCATCTCCTTGGTATGAGATTGAGGATTAAATTCGGCGATTGGGGTCTTTGGAACCCTTTTTCTTGCTTCAGCAGCAAAGACGGACAGCAGTAAAAGACAACTTAGTACCATAACAACAGCTACAACGACATTTCCTCTCTTAGCCATTTTTTCTTTTGATTTTGAGGTTTTTATCTTTGTAATGTGATTTTCTCTAGCTTTAATTTCTATATTTAGTATGAATACTCGTTTTGCATCTCACCCATTATATAGGGGACTGAGGGTAGTACAAGCCGTGGTGTCTATTTTTATATACTATCTCGTTCTGTCTCAGAAACAATTGCAACATTTGAATAGACACGATTGTCAATACGCAAGTTGATCATTAATATAATATCGTAATATATTTGAGAGTGAGGGATAGCTCAAGCGGTTAGAGCTTTCCTTTTAATTTTATGGGATATTGAGGTCAGGGTTTTTTTTTTTTTTTTTTTTTTTTGAATAAAAATATATTATAAGTGGTTAATATTTGAAAAATATACATTAAGTAAACTCAACAATATCTTACATACTAACATTTGTTTTTATATATTAACCTAAAAAAGGAGTTAAAGTGAGGAATAAGAATAATGCTAAAAATCAAAATATTGCGAGTAAATTAAGACCGAAAAAATAATTTATGAATAATAGCCAAATAAGGAAAATAAACAGCTGCATAAGCATGAAGTTGCTAGGTGCCATGCATACTATCCTATATACTCGTAATAATAGAGTAGTCATTTTTTGACTTTCCATCACAATGCTACAAAACCTCATTCTATTAATTCTCGGCAGTTACTCCTTCCACAAAATAACGTAGAATGTGTAGTAAACACTTTAATATCACTCTCTCCATCTTTAAATGTTATTTTTAATTTTAAAAAGTCAAAAATAGAAACAACTTGTAAAGACTGATTTCTAAACCTTATCAATACTCGATTTTTACATTTTCTTCCTTATGTTTGCTTGTGTGAATTAACCCAACGGGTATAGTCTGATTTTGTGCGGAAATGCTACTTGTTCCTTGCACGGGCAGGCAAAGTGATGAGCCACACCCTTAATTTTGCTATTTCCATGACTCTTTTGCACGGACATGACCGAATACTGAATCAACTTTAGTAATCAAACCAAACTTAATAGAGCCGAAATTAATCGAATCGAAACCAACCCGATCCAATGTCATCCAACTCGAGATTAACTCGATCAAACCCGTTTTGAACCTGATTTGATTGAATCCGGACCGAATATAAACTGATTCGAAGTTGACTCAACCCAAACCCGATCTGGACTTGACACATCTCGACTCGAATTTGACCCGACCCGAAAGTGATCTGATCCGACCCAAAACGGGTTAAAAGGATATTTTGAACCGAATATATCTAACCCAAACAAACCCGACCCAAACTCCATCCGATTATCCAAATTAACACCTCTACTCCCACCTTCTCCGAGTAATTATTATGTATCAATAATTCGGCCTTTGTCTTTCACTTCCAAGTTGACTAGTTGCGAATAGCCTATTACTCCACTTGTGTAGCTAGAGTTCATGATCGGGAGAATAATTAGGAATTGAAAGTACTAGAATCCAAATCAAGTTGTATATTCCCACGTGAGAGTAATTCCAAGACGACTAAGATCTAAATTGCCTTTGACTCGTTGTGTTCCCACTTTAGTAGTAAACAAAATATCATCTAATCTTTGTCACAAAAAAATGTCATCTAATTTAAGCAATGCATGATTAATTGATTATTTCATATTCTTAGGTGTTACATGAAATCATGTGTCATTGTATTCATACAATTATACATCAGTAAATTTTTGGTATTGCAAAATTCTACTTCCTCTATCGTCTCTTTTTAATTTTTACGCTTTGACCATCTTTCTGTCACAAAAAAGTTTTAAATGTAAAGATTAAAAAAGTTAAAAAAAAAAAAAAAAAAAAAAAAAAAAAAAAAAAAAGAACAATAATACATAAGGAGAAATTTTTCTAAAAAAAGAAAAAATAATACATAAGGGGAAATAATCACATAATACAATGCATACGTATACTGTATACAACTCAAGAGTGTGATTGATTGTTATAAGAGATTTTTTTTTCCTTTTTTTGGAATGAGTAAACAAACATAACATAATACAAGAATCCGACCCGCCTAAATTGACCCTAATATGATGACAATGATCGAATTAATGACTCAATTTTGCATATCACCCCAAAGTATATGACATGATTATGATTTGAAATTTTGAATAGATGTGACTGGATCATTTGAATAGACCTCAAACATAATTTGAATTGTTGCCCACTTGCCGTGAATAATAATGTTGATGAATAATAAGTAATTCCTCCGTTCTAGTAATATTGTAACAATTAGACTTTTACATTATGATTTATACGTAAAGTAAAATATAGTCATGTGTTATCTTATTAGATTCGTCTCGTAAAATACTTTCACAATATCAACTTTTATAATTTTTACTATTATATTATAATAAATATTTAACATATAAAATATGGTTTGTGATGCGTAATTTCATCCTTGTTGCAATATTTGTGGAACAGAGGAAGTATTATTTATGTGGCAATAGAAATAGGTTTGTCAACTTTTACCGAATAAATAATTCTTATTCAACAAGATATTACTCTCTCCGTTTTAATGTAAATGCGAAATTCGAATTAACTTTTGTTGTTTTGCATTATTTATAAATTAACACTATTTAACCTTCGTCATTGCTTTTTACTTTCTCTCCTTTTTTTTAGTTGCATCACTTTACAAATTGAGGATTTCTACACAATTGTTGGAGATGAGAGAGATAGAAAGAGTTTATTAACTAAAAAGGAAAATGATGCAACTAATTTAAAACTTCAGTTTTAGGAAAGTAACGCAACTAAAAAGAAATGGAGGAAGTACTTAAAAATTTTAGTCATGTGGATATTTATCTAAATGGTCTCAATATATAGTTTTTGAATGACAATTTTTTATTAAAAAAATGTATACTTATTGAAAATTACATATATTGTTGTTTAAAGTTCTACGTTAACAAATTTATCAATCAAATAGAGACATTTATTTTGAAATAGAGTGAACTAATTTTTTTGTTTACTTACTAAACAAAATTCGATATTTGAAAATATAATAACATCATAATAGAAGTTAATTACACCTTCTGAATCCTACTCTGAATAATTCTTGTTTGATTTTGTAAAAATTATTTTCATTATCGTTAATCGTCAATTATAAATGTCATCTTTAATCAATGAAAATTAGCACTATTTGGAGCTTTCTTCCAAAAAAAAAGGGTTATTGCACCATATATATGGATCTATAACCGATTGACTGTTGGTGTAGTGGTAATTGGGGTTGCACTTGGTAGGGAGAATCGCATGTTCAATCCTCTGCAACAACAATTGGGAGGGGACTAGAACCTAACCGCCCATAACTGAACCCTGAATCCAGATTAGCCCAAAAAGTGAATCGGGTGGAACACCAAAAAAAAAAAATAATGTGTCTATATCAGTGGCGGAGCTAGAATTTGGGAAATGGTAGGGCACCAACGACATGTTAATCGAAAACTAATATTAACACTTTAAGCGTATTAAATTATTAGCCGATAACTAATATTAACACTTTAACTAATACAAATTAATAGTCCATCCCTCATATTCCGAAATTTGTTTCAAAGTTTTAATTAGATAACATATATATTGGATACTATTGACCAAATATGCATGTCAAACAAACCAATAATTCTAGCTATATACGGAGCACTAAAATATTAACAGAACAAGTAAAACAACAATTAACGACCATTTTTAAACAATCATATCAACCAAAAAAGAATAACCTGTACAATGAGCTCACAACAATCTCAAAAATTAAAGTAATCAATTTAAAAATTACATAGTAAATTAACTTTTTTTTATTGACAAGATACATAGTGTTTCAGATAAAAACAATGGGACCTTCAGCAAACCCTTTTAAAGTGGAGAAGACTGATCTCGGTCCTGAGAACGCTGGAGCCGAGGATTTCCTGCACAGCAAAGAACAAGTAAACTAGCCTCGGGGGTGGTTGCCGAGGAAGGCCCCTCCGATGCTAAAGTCAGTTCAATTGAGAGAGAATGCTATGCAAGAGATTTAGTGCTTGAGGCTTTAGTTGCATGGGTGTAAAATGGTGAAATTGATGGCTTTTATACCTGGACTCCTTTGAAGAGAATTGGGCCCATGTGGTCAGATGGGCTGACCACACTAACTGGGCTTATCCTAGTCTTAGCATGCTTTTTGGAGGGTTGAACCTTGCTTTGGGATTGACTTGAGTTATTTGGACTTGGCCCAATTAGATGGATTGAATTGGACCCAAACAACTTGGCCCCCAGACCCGATTCGGCTGAAAGACGGGTTGGGTTTGACTTACGAATTTGAAAGGACAAATAACGACAACTTGAATCTTGAAGGAATCTAGGCAATTAATGATGCTTAACTGCCATTTAGGAGATTAATTAAAGAAGACTGAGGGTTTAGTGGGTAGTTTACTGGGAACGTGTGTGACGGTTTGCGTTTAATGTGGAATTCGTGGGGTTTTTGGCGGTTTAAGGTTTTTTTTTTTTAATTCTTGATTCTTGAAATCCTTGTATTAAAGCGCCCTCTCCACTTCCCTTAATCATTTTCGCATAAACACACAAATTTCCCAAGAACACTGAACTCACTGCAAACCCTAGATTTTCCTTGCCCTTAATCTCTGCAATTCCGTAGCTGCAATCAGAATTCTCTGCTGCGAACTTGAAGATCGGCGAATTCCGAGTCTAGTCAAGGTAATTTTTCCCGAAACTTGTTCGAATTTTTCTTGTTTTGAGCAATTCGCCCTTTTGCCCAATTCCCACTTCTTCGTAAAAAATGGTTAGGAATAGAGTTGAGAGCTCTTCGAGTGAGGAGGAAGAGCTTCAAATGACTGTGTTGGGTGCTCG